TTGCGCCGCGTCGCTGCGTCATTCCACACCTTCGTGAACGTCGCCACGAACTCCCTCGCCGTTGTTCTGCCGCCCGCCGCCTCGCGCCACGCCGACGCCAGCGCCTCCTGGTGTCCCCCAGCGTCCGGCGAGTGGTACAGCGTCACGCCGGCGGCGTCGGCGCGCCGGTAGCACTCGTAGCCGGGGGCGCCACCGTCTGCGCGGTCGAGAAGCAGCACCAGGGGGCGCCGCACGGGCAGGCGTGGAATCACGTGCGAGCAGAGCCATGCGTCCTCCGTCGCCGCGGCGACCACCCCGCGACCCGCGATCCGCCATCGCATCCCGCCGTCGCTCCCCTCTTCCCGGGGATCCTTCCCCGTGGAGAGACCGTCCACGCCGGAGGAACTCTCTTCTTCCACCTCCATCGACGAATCCCTTCTCGTAGAGATATGCCTTCCCGCGGGACGATCTTTCTCCGTGGACGATTGCTGTCTCTTGTTTGGATCCATCCCTGCGTAAGGATTCTTACTCACCCTGGAATCATTTCCTATCCAGGGATCTGTGGAGGTGGCTATCCCAGTAGAGAGATCTATCCCTATAGAGGGATCTATCCCTGTGGAGTTAGCCATCCTAGTGAAGGGATCTATCCCTGTGGAGGGATCTTCAGGTAGGATGAGTACCGGCGGCAGCGCGTCCCCGTTCGCCGCGACGCACGTGAGTGCGGTGGCCGTCTCTCCGCGCGCGAGCGGCAGCGCCACCTGTCCGCATGCGTACACGCTCGCCGGCGGCACGCGCCGACGCGCGAGAAACGTGCGCAGCCGCGAGGCAGCATCGTCGTCGTCGCCGCGGCAACCGTCGTCGTCGTCGTTGTCGGGCGAGCGCAGCATACGCGTGGCGGCGGCGAGGAGCTGCTCCGGCGTGACGGCGGCAAAACCGCGCCGACGCATCTCGACGACCCATCGGCACAGCCGCACGCCAGCCTCCTGCCGGTCGCCGGGGGCGACGCCCGACGACGACTCCTCCGCGTCGCCGTGGCGACGATCGGCGACCGGCGTGGGAGGAGAACTCAGATTCTCACGTCCCTCCTCGTCTGTCGGGGACGCCGACGCTTCGCCGGCTGTCGAAAATCCCAGCAAGTCCGCGGCTGGCTCTGCGTCGACAGGTGGCGCCCCCGTAGCATCCTCGCCTTCGCTCGACGAATCGCCGCTCATCGGCTCCGTCTTGATAATCGCAGCTTGTGATTCGCCGGGTTCGATCGCCGCCGCCATTCGGACGACGTCGTGCTCACGCCGCCGCCGCACCGCCGCCCGCTCGCCGCCGCGGTTACCATGGTGATTCAGCCAGTCACAGAGCGTCGACTTTGGCACGCGCCACCTGGCGGCGGCGGTCGTCTGCGTGACGCCGGCCGCGGCGACGTCGTGCATCGCGGCAACGAGCCGCTCCCTCCTGCTCAGCCTCCCGATCACGAGCTCGGAACGCGGTCGCCACGACGACGACGACGACAATGACGACGACTCGGGATGTGGTCGCCACGACGACGACGACGACGACAATGACGGCGACTCGGGATGCGATCGCCACGACGAGGGCAACTCCGGATGCGGTCGCCACGACGACGACGATCCAAGATGCAATTGCAGCGACGACGACGACGACGACAACTCAGGATGCGGTCGCCACTCTGCCGCTGCCGACGACGACTCGGGATGGGGTCGCCGCGACGACGACGACTCGCGACGCGGTCGCCGCGGCGCCGTGGCCGACGACGACGCGTCGCCCAGCTCGAGCAGCAGACTCGTGACGACATCTCGCTCCGACACATGGCGTCCCGCGCGCAGCCAGTCGCACAGCGTCGACTTGGGCACGTTCCAGCGCGCGGCGGCCGCGTTCTGCGGCACGCCGCCCGCCGTGACGTCACGCATCGCCTTGTGCAGGCAGATGCGCCGCAGCAGACGCGCGCTGATCAGCTCTGAGGGCAGCTCCGCGGGCGAACTCGTGCGTCCGATCGCCCCGCGCAGTTCCCGCTCCGCCTCGCTCGAGCATCCGGGACGATCCGAGGGGAACCTTCTCGGAAACGCCCGCACGTTGTCGTCGTCGTCGTGGCCGTTCGGGATTTCGCCGATCTCTGGGACGGAGTCGTCGTCGTCGTCGCGGCGGTGCGGGTGGCACCCACCGTAGGACGCGTCGTCGTCGTCAATCTCTCGCTTTACGGTGGTGGGTTTCTCGACGACGTTGCCGTGGCGACGCGTTCCTCCGTCGTCGGCGGCGACGGAGACGCGTCCCTCGGTGGCGAACCCGGCGCGGACGCGTCGCGCAAACGTCTCGACCCCCGAGTCGCTCACGTCGTCGTCCGTCTCGACGCCCGCCGACCCGCCGCGCGCTGGCGCCCCCTGGAGGGCGGACGTTTGGCGGCGGCGGCTCGCTACCCAGTCGCAGAGCGTGGATTTCGAGACGAGCCATCGGGCGGCGGCGTGCTTCTGCGAGAGGCCCATCTTGAGTACGTCTCGCAGGGCTCGCTCGAGACGCTCCCGCCGATGCAGGCGAGACGTAAGAGCGCCGCGGGCGACTCCGACACCGTTATGAACCGTATCCGGAGCGATCCCGTTCCGGATCGGATCCAGACTGATTCCATTCCGATTCGGGGCCAAACTTACACAGTTCCCAGTTGAGTCGGGATTGATCCCATTCCAAGTCGAGTCCAGACTGATCCCATTCCGGATCGGGTCCGAAGTCGTCCCACCCCGAGTGATCCCGCTTCGTACCCCAGCGTCGGATTTTTCCCGTTCGTCCGCCGCATCGCCGGCCGTCGGGCCGCGTGCCACCGACCCGCAGCCGCCGCCAGGGGTCGCCACGTCGCACACGGCGCGGCGGTCCACCGGCGACACGCACGCCAGCGCCGTCTCCCTGCAGGAGTACGCATCCGGAATGCCCCGATCGCTCCCGCGGGAGCGCGCGTCCATCCCGGGAACACCTTCCGCACCGGGATCGTTGCGCCCCCACACGTCGATCCCCGGTTGGTTACGGTCGACCGAGTACATGCTCTTGTATTTGCCGTTCACCCAGTCGCAGAGCGTCGACTTCGAGACGAGCCACTTGAGAGCGGCTGCCTTCTGCAGGAGTCCGTTCTGCCGTACGTCCGTGAGCGCGCGCAGCAGACGCGCTGGACGCCGCAGACGAAACGCCTCCGGCGTCGGCGCCACCTCCTTCGGACAAAACTTCCGCTTCGCTCGTGCCGCGTGCGCGTCGCTGCCGCCGCGTTTCCGCGGTGACGGAGCCGCAGGGAGGTCGGGCAGGGATTCGGGAAGGAAGGACGTGTCGCCGCGCAGCCACGCGCGCAGCGTAGTCACTGCGACGTGCCAGCGTGCGGCGGCGGCGTCCGCGGGGACGTCGTTGTCATTGACGTCGGCGGCGGCAAACATTAGTCGTTCGGTCGGCGTGAGGTAGGAGAGGTCCGATTCGTCATAGAACAGATCGACAGAGTCGAAATCCGGCAAAGCGTCATCGCCGTCGACGACGGCGCGAGTCGCTCCGCCCGGAGGCGTCCCCGCCGCGTCGTCGCGTCGTGATGCAGTGGATTCCATTGTGGCTTGAGCGGGAAAGCGCGACGATGGGCTTTCATAGTATCATGCAGCGTCCGCTCATTCTGAAAATCGCGGAAGAGAGGTGGTTTTATTGATCAGATGGTAGCTAAAAACTAGTTGGTTTTTATTCCTGAATGTCGCGTGACGTGAATGCCATCACGTGTAAAGAACAACTTAGGGTAATGTTATATTATATTGTCTCTGTTTTTTGAGGAAATACTGGCACTGCGATCCGCAGACTCGCACTCGCAGTGTTGGTCTGTCTATTTTATCAACTTTGTGTCTCTCAACCTTTGCTATAGTCCTTTAGACTTTGAAAACTAATCTGGGTTTATGATCTAATGGGGAAATGGCTCATGAGGGATTATTTACAACGCTGTGGCTATATGCCCGGCAGCCGGGCACGGTCTTCGATTTCCTAAATGCCCGGCAGTTCCTAACCCTCCGGCAGTTCCTAACCCTAACCCTTGTTTCTTGTTTACTTGAGATACCGCTGAAAATTAAAAACTGCCGGGCATTTAGGAAATCGAAGACCGTGCCCGGCAGCCGTCAGATATATGCCGGCTGCCGGGCATATAGCCACTCTGTATTTACAATCTGGCAGAAGGCTAACTAGACCGAATAATTCTGTCCCATATAACCTTTTTTATATTTTGGTGAGGGTTATATTGGGACAGAACGGGGTTCATTGAAATTTCGTGAGATCGCATGCAAAATGCATGCGCTGCGAATGCGGCCCGTACGCCGCTATTGGCACGGAAAAAAACCTACCGTTCCCTTCTACATGACTTTACCTTGCTACAGATATGTGTATACATTCACTTCAATCGTTATTCACTTCTTAAAAGATTGTTTTTCAGAAACCCGCTATATTCCACTTTCGTAAATAACATTCGCCATTTACAAACAATCAGACCAATCAGAACGAGTCTATCAGCCCTCCTGCAGCGCCACAGATACAAGCGAGCAAGGGCTCCTTGCAAGCGAGAACCAGGCTATTGTAACACTCGCTCTGATTGGTCTGATTGTTTGTAAATGGCGAATGTTATTTATGAAAGTGGAATGAAGCGGGTTTCTGAAAAACAATCTTTTAAGAAGTGAATAACGATTGAAGTGAATGTATACACATATCTGTAGCAAGGTAAAGTCATGTAGAAGGGAACGGTAGGGTTTTTTTCGCGCCAATAGCAGCGTACGGGCCACATTCGGATCGCATGCATTTTGCATGCGATCTCAGGAAATTTCAATGAACCCCGTTCTGTCCCAATATAACCCTCACCAAAATATAAAAAAGGTTATATGGGACAGAATTATTCGGTCTAAAGGCTAACCTGACCAGGCTGTGTGACTAACGTCAATATACTGGTATTCTAACCCTAGCAATACCGTTTCTTGGAGCTAGCAGAAGGCATGATAATTAAATAAATTATTAATTTAATTGTGTTCTAGGAGAAAAAGTAGTCAAAGATGGCAGAAGAGGAAAATGTCAAAGTTGCTGTTCGTGTACGGCCTTTCATATCCTTTTTTAGAAATTTGTTTACGAGGTAACCCACCCCGGCAGCAAACGGCACCCAAAGAGAGACAGTTAATTATATCGTGAAATTCTATGTACATCAAGTTTAACACCTGCCACAGTAATGTACGTAGTTGTATTGTAACTGTAAGCGTGAAGTAAAACTAAAAGGTTCTATAGTAATTAGTATAGGCCTACAGTGCCACGTACGACTTATATAGCCAGTCAAATATATTATTATTAATTATTATATAGACACCCCACATTCAGAATCGAATCAATCATGATATGAATTATACTTAACCTCGTAAACTCATAAATTATAATGCTAATATGTTTATGTTTTCCCTGATTGTCATGATGTTATGCCATACTAAAACTTAGTATAGTAGTTACATAGTAGTAATACTGAAACTACTAGGAGAGATTGCGAGAAGTGCACGGAATTGTGTTTCCTTAGTTCGCGTAATCACAATTCTCGCGAGAAGGCGATGGGCTCGGACATTGATAGTACGATGGACGGACCGCGGACCGTACTCACGGATCCGGACACGGGCGAGGAGAAGGATTTCGTGTTTGACTACAGCTACTGGTCGCACGACGGTTCGGTCGAACAAGCGAACGGCTACATCACCCCTGCCGCCGGAACACGAATTTGCCGACAGGTATGGCTAATATGCACGCAAACTAGATTTCACATTTCAAACATAAATGCATGTATAATGTATTATTTTTTAGCTCATCTGATGTAGTCAGATGCAGTTTGTAGAATCGCATGATCGTGCGTCCGTTCTGTCAACAGTTGGCGCACAAATCTTAACCGCTCGACGTACGGTCACGATTTCGGGACGTCGGGGGGGGGGGGATCGTGAAAGGATCAGGAGACAAATTTGGTGGGTCAAGGTCAAAGGTCAAGACGTGTAAACGGTTGGGGATATTATTCCCCCTAACTTATATGGATATAGAAGAAATACGGAATTACGGCACAAATCTTAACGGCTCGACTATGTTCTTAATATTGGTGTATAGTGTGATGGGCAGGAACCCATCACCAGTGCGAAATTGGAGGTCACAGGTCAAAGGGGCAGTGGGGGAAAGGTCAGATATCAGACATTTTTGAGGACATGGCCTAATGGACAGACAGTGAAAAACTTTTTGTGTCAGCGCTGACTTACCATTTTATCACTTTATTGAAAAGGACCATGAAATGTGCTTTTCACTGACGTGCGGAGAGTAAGTGTCTGATAACCTTTTGACCCTCAAGAGGAGGGTTACCATGATTCCTGAACTGCCTCAATGATGTCACAGTGCTTCTCATATTCATATGCACATCCATAATCTAGAAAGCAATAAGCCTGGATGCCGAACGCTCTACACCGCAGGCGTCATGGCTCAAAGGTCGTTGGATCGAATCCCATCAGATTTTTTATTATTTACATGTTTTCTGTATTTTTCTATCTTTATCCATTTAACTTTTTTTTTCTCCAATTAACACAAATATTTACATGATTTATTTACAACAATTTAATAACAACAAATAACTTTTACAACAATTAATATATACATTTTTTTTAATAGGGTTAGGGTTAGGGTCACAATGCACCATAAAACAGGAGTTTTAGGCATGCGATTTGTGAGGTATGCAGAATGCAGAAGGTTGCTGAAATGATGTGTACGCAAAGTAGTATCTGCATATCTGCACCTAACAAAGGTGTCACTACGCACGACTTAAATGTTACGTTTATAACCGTTGCAACAGACCTCAGATGAGCCCAGACGCTCTGTGGCTCTTGTTGAATTACGTGCAATAAAGACTTAATAGTAATAAAATAATAAATTTACCTGAGTCGGTCACTGATGGGGTCTCTCACCTGTCTATAAAGGACAGTTTTGGTGATTCCTCTGACTCATTATTATATGAACTTTAAAAAGTATCTGCATGCTTATATGTATTATTAGTTATATGTACTTGTGTAGTGTATTATGTATTATATTATCTGTATAGTGTATATATTTATGTATTATATTATGTACGTGT